GATTTCGCAGATGTTTTCAGTAAGCAAAAAGCTGACTGGCTTCTGCCCCACAGAGAGTATGACTTAAAAATCTACCTCAATGAAGGTGCCCAGCCACCCCTTGGACATATTTACCCACTTTCCTCCACAGAACTTCTGCAATCTGGGAGTTCCTGGATGAATATTTATCCATAGGTTTTATCAGACCCTCAAAGTCTCCTTTTGGAGCACCTGTTCTGTTTGTCAAGAAAAAGGATGGATCCCTCAAACTATGTGTTGATTTCAGAGGACTCAATGCTGTCACCAAAAAGGATAAGTATCCACTCCCACTTATATCTGACCTGCGTGATGCCCCACAGAATGTCCAGATTTATATGAAAATAGACCCTAAACACACCTACCATTTGGTCTGGATCTCTGCAGGAGACGAGTGGAAAACCACTTTCAGAACCCGTTATAGGGCCTTTGAGTGGTTGGTGATGCCCTTTGGACTCACCAATGCTCTGTCTGTTTTTCAATGTTTTATTAATGATATTTCTCTGACATGCTTGATGTATGTGTCATTGTTTACTTGGATGACATTCTTATCTACTCTGAGGACCCACAGTACATAACAAACAAGTCCATGAAGTTCTCCAGAGACTCAGACAACATGGTTTATTCAGAATGGTAAAAAATGTACTTTTGACACAGACTCCATGGAATATCTAGGTTTCATAATGGGACCTGGTGGATTCCGCATGGATGAAGCCAAAGTACAAGTCATCAAAGATTGGCCAGAACCAAAGACATACAGTCTTTCCTCAGCTTTACCAATTTTTACTGACAGTTTATCTGGGGGTATTCTGAAAGCACGGTCCCCCTTACTTGTCTTACATGCAAGGATACTCCATGGAATTTTAATGATAAGTGTCAAAAAGCTTTTAATCTTTAAAAGATTCTTTTTCTTCAGCTCCAATTCTGTCACATTGGAAACCAGACTTTCTGCTCATTGTTGAAACAGATGCCTCAGACAATGCACTTGGAGCCATTCTGTCTATCCAGGACTCCAACGGAGAAGTTCACCCTGTGGCTTTTCTGTCCCAGACTTTCACCAGAGCAGAGCTCAATTATGACATTCATGCCAAGGAACTCCTAGCAATTTTTTCAGCTTTCAAAACATGGTGACACTATTTGGAAGGCTCGGGAATTCTGATTGACATTGTAAGAGATCATAAGAACCTGGAATACATGCTTTTCTTTGGTTTAGCAAATAAAATTGAGTTCACAGATGAACTAACTTCCACATTGGATGGTGATTGCACAGATAAACATGGATTATCAATTGCCAATGAGCTCATGCACTTGCATTTTAGCACCAAGCTTCAATGCTTGTCTCCAGGGCATTGAGGATGGATATCCACACATATTTGGCTTTCCTGGCAGCATGAGATGTTAGAATATGAATAATCATCAATAAGAATGACCTCATACCTTTTATTGATCACCATGCTGACCAAATAACCCCTCTCATCTTGATCCTCACCACCTTTATCATTCAAGGCACACTGTCTGCCTTCTTTGCCATTTTAATTGGCCTCATCAAAAGCATGTCTCACAGGAAGCTTATGACCGTGGCAAGATTTATGTCATGAAGGCTGTACATCATGTTAAGATGTGTGCAGAGCTTAGCAAAGGGTTTCCGGAGAATCCCACAGATAATCCAGTAGGACTTGGCTTCAGCTTATAGGCTACACCCTCTTGATATTATAGCATCCAATTTCAAACAGGCGGACAAGAAACCCAGGGAGTCCCAGTGTAGTTGATAGGTCAAGATATCAGTTGGGAAGCCCATGGGCTCTGATGAGGTTGATAGCAAGCATTGTGATATGAGAGGTGGGGATGGAGCAGGGACCAGTCAGAAAGCCCACAGGCTCTGATGAGGTTGATAGTGTTGTGAGATGGGGATGTGTGATGTATCTAGTATATCTTCATGAATTTACCCTTAATTTTCCAGGATTTATTTCTATTTATTTTATTCTGTTTTATTTTATTTATTATTCAAAGAATATGGGTATTTCCTTTTAACTTTGCATACTCAAGGCTTCAAATGATGTCACATTATGTAATCTAAGCCTAGAGCAGTTGAAATATAATTATAATAAAGCCGGGTTATCTAATTTTGGGCAGCCAGGTTTTTATTACATTATACAGTGACTCAAAAAACCCTTCGCATGTTTCACCCTTCAGACTTATATCCCTGATAACTCAAAGAATAAAAATGCAAGAATATCAAGAATATTTGTGAATATGCACTATCATATTTAGATTATGGAGGTATGATTCCATTACATACACTCCAAATATGGAAATATTACAAATATCATACAAGAGACTCATGTGAAGGGTTTTTTTGCTGGCAACTTTGATGACTGTAATGCTTACAGTCATGTGACCTTGTTGATTGTTTACCTCCAATTGGGTCATATTAACAAAATCATGTGATGTCACATGACCATGTTGTACTGGAGTATAAATATATGGTCTTTAGCAACCAGCAATGCTCCAATTCCCAAAATGCACACTTTGACACTTGCCAGCCAGAATCATATCCTCTCATTGCTTGATGTTAGCCATTCAGCTAGCCACATTGCAGCTTTTACTGGTCATAGCATTTTCACAGTCTCTAAGCTTCACTCTAAGCATTGTTCTCATCTCTCTAAGTCCATTGGTGGTCATCCCTCAAAGCTTTCTCCTACCAACATTCATTATGCACAGCACCTCATCAGCTCTGGGAAGGCTGACACTGCTGTTGATGTGGCCAAAGCTCTTAGGAGTGTCACCAACCAGTTCATCTGCACCCAAACTGTGTACAATAGTCTTAATATGGTTAGGAATGTCTCAATAACCCTTCTAATGTTTGGTACTTCAGATTTACATCCCTGATAACTCAGAGAATAAAAATGCAAAAATATCAAAGATATTTGTGAATATGCTCTATCATATCTATATTATGGAAATACAGTGCCATTACATAAGCTCCAAATATGAAAATACTACAAATATGTATATATAGGAGACTTATTGGAAGGGATTTTTTGTGAGGTTTGGAGAAGGATTTGTGATGTTATGGGCTACATGCTGTGGGAAGGACCTGGGTATTCTTTCAAGATAGATGAGAGGATGGATGGGGACCTTTATCTTAAGATTATAGAGATGGACCTTCAAGCCAGCTTCAGCTATTATAGAAAATATGTGGGTGATGTCATCTTTCAGCAAGATCATGACCTTGAACATACCTGCAAGAAGGCCCAGACTTGGTTTCAAGATAATGATTTCAATGTTCTCACATGGCCAGCACAGTATCCAGACCTCAACCCCATCGAACACTTGTGGGACTATGAAAAGAGGAGGCTAAGGGATACTGGTGTTGTGGGAGAGGGTGGAGGAGGAGTGGAACAAGATTGATGCAGAGGTGTGTCAGAATTTGATTGAGAGTATGCCTAGGAGGGTTGTAGCTGTGTTGAAGGCAAAGGGTGGCTATACTAAGTACTAAATATAAGTAGTTTTGTGGGTCAGAGTGGTCAGCAAAAAAACCCTTCACATGACCCTCTTGTATATAAATATTTGTAATATTTCCATATTTGGAGTTTATGTAATGGCATCATACTTCCATATTCTAGATATGATAGAGAATATTCACAAATATCTTTGATATTTTTGCATTTTTATTCTTTGAGTTATCAGGGATATAAGTCTGAAGGGTGAAACATGTGAAGGGTTTTTTGAGTCACTGTATTGCTAGATATATGCGCATTATTATTGCGCAATCACGTGACATCACGTGACAACGACGTGATGACATGGTCACAAATCATTGCGAATAGTTTTTGCAGCTGCCCAGCTGGGTTTATTTCTGTTTCGGCCACCTGGCCTAATTTTCTTCCACTTTTGGCCATCCCGGACTTCTTTTCTGACTTGACCGGCTCGGATCTTCAAGTCAGGTGAGGAGTATGATATCATAGTGGAATTATGGAAACTTCTTAGAAGCTTCTAAAAGTTTCCTAATTAGTTATTTAGATATTATTAAGCAGAACTCTCTACATGTATAAAAGGAGGCCTAAATCTTGAATAAAATCAACTTTACTTTACTACTATCAACAGCACCAGCTCATAAGGTTATGTAATCAAAATAGCCTTAGTCTGATATACTAACTGCAAGCACCTACACTTTCAGAATCTTGAACTCTTTGTCAGAACTGTTGAACTTTGAAAAAAAGACGTCATGTACCTGAATATGTTCCGGGACCCTTGCCTGATGCACCCGTGCCAGAGATAGACGCGTCATACATGGACCATGGACTCGCGTGGCCCAGATGGAAGAGGGATTTGGTTAGCCCGAGGAGAGGGTGAGGGGGTCAGACATGGTGATGAAGAGTCGGAATGGGAGGATAGTTTCACACGGGCAGAACGATTGCTAGGATGTGCGCTCGAATGGAGGGTACATTGCAGATGATCGTGCCTGACGTCATGGTCAAGGAGATGGAGGGTCCCCACAGCGGTAGTTTCCTCTTTGCGCTGTTTTAGACAGTGTGCAGTGTCTTCATATCCTGCTATGATGTATGTCCCAATTGAACCTGAGTGCAGAGACAGACATAGATACCCGCCAGTTTTGTTAAGCACGTGCACTAGACTACGACCGCGATTTGCAGGGCGACTTTCCTTGCTAGGTGGCGTATTTGTCCACGGTGTTTCCAACCCATCCATATTCTTCCAACACTGAGATGCAACATGAGTGGGATACGAGTACTGTTCCCGTGAAGAGAGTGGCAATCATACATAGCAGGGACTGAGAAGCACTTGTGAGATGTGCAGAATATGGGAAACTATCGGGACGGTGGTCAAGCACAGCCAACAGAATTGAGGTGTAGGATGACAGATAAGACTGGAACTGGGGAAGAAAATAGCACGCTGAAATGCAGAACATGCCAACGGTGGGGTCATGGTTGAGTATGGGTCAGGATGTGGATGGTAGCACTCACGCCTTGGTAGCTCAATTGGTAGAGCGTCAGACTCTTACGGTCCCTCTGACTGGGTAAGAGTCTTGAGGTTGCGGGTTTGATTCCCGTCTGAGGCAATACTTTTCTCCAATTAAATCACAGACTCCTTCCTACATATATCTCTTTTTCCAAGCGCATGTCATATTTTTAAGAATCATGGAACTAGCCATTAAGTCCCAAAATGAATATGCAGAACTATGTAGAAGTTCAAACTTTCATCCCAAGATATATTGACTTAGCCTGATGACTTTGTCCTTTTGTCACTGTAAATACTACTACAACAGTAAGATGTAGTCCGACAAATAAGTCTAGAATGGGGGACAGATAGTAGATTCAAAGGCAGAACGTAACACCGGAGGTGTCACGGTTCAATATATATTACAATGTGGATGTAATAAGTCATGCCTTGGTAGCTCAGTGGTAGAGCATCAGACTCTTACAGTCCCTCTGACCGGGTAAGTGTCTAAGGTTGCGGGTTCGAATCCCGTCCGACGCAATGTTTTTATCCCATTAAATCACGGACTACTTCCTACATATATTTCTTTTTTACATGCATATGAAATATTTTTGAGAATTATGGAACTGGCCATTAAGTACCAAACTTGCATATTCAGGCCATAGTCTGAAAGGAAGGCTGATTGCATAATCACATGTGATATCTATCATGATGCATGGGGAGGCCGATGTTTCGGGTCTGAGTACTTCTGCAGACAATAGTGTTGGAATGTATACATGAACAATGGATTCGACGAACGATATCTATTTTTAGAACACGCGATCGTGGATACACGAAATGACACGTCATCCCCTTGTTCCACATATGGTCATCATTCACTGCACGGTATTTAAACTATGTAGTCAAACTATCTACACCTCAGTCCGTTATACCCTAATACAAGACTGAGGTGAGTTTGCTCTAAATAACGTCCCTTATTGCTGTATTGACAATATGTGTTAGATAAATATTAGGTACATACACTCAGTCCGTTATACCCTAATACGAGACTGAGATAAATATTAGTTGCAATTTTAACAAATAGGATCTGGGGTATCAGAACAACTGCATCATTTGAGGATTCAATGTACATTCTAGGGGGGGGTCACAACACTCTGCGGGAATACTTTGGTGTGCAGCAGAATATTACATATCCTCGACAAGAGCCACACTAGCGACAGCCGTGCTTGCTGAATTCCATAACAATATATGTCTATGTAGCTACAATTCTACCTGAATCCTATCATTATTATTCTTTTGAATTCTGGAGATTTTACAGTAACTTGTACATTGCTTACCTTTGGTGGGACAGGAACAAATGAAGATTAGCGTTCCCCCACACAGGCGGTTGGATGCTGGATGTGACTTGAGGCTCTCGTTTGAAGGGAAACAATAAGGCTGTCAATCTGCAGAGCCAGTATGAGGCTTTGGTTAACACGAGGAGGGACCAGGTTTATTCAAAAGTTCCAAAGTGATATACATAGTGGTGTCCAAATTGCACCTGGTATCCTTGTTTTAGCTCTCATCTTTTAGCCGAGTTCATAGACTTCACTACAGTTCCTGCGTGATGTTCGGCAAGTAAAGGAATCCATTGCATCGCTACCATTCTTTCATCCAACCTGCCAGAGGATCAGGCCGTGCTCAAGCCAAAGAACGAATGAGCCAGAGTTCCAGCAGACTGAGAGGTTGAGTGCTGGGAACAGTCCAAAGCATTGCAGCAAGGTTGAGGACACATGAATTGGAGGAGTCAATGTAGAATAAGATCCACATCATAACACATGTTGCACCACGACACCACCGTTGTTACATTCTGCCTTTGAATCTGCTATCTTTTCCCCCATCCCAGACTTATTTGTCATACTACACCTTGACTTTGATGTACTAGTATTTGCAGTGAGAAAAGGATAAAGTCATAAGGTTAAGGCAATATATCTTGGGATGCAAACTTTTAACTTCTATATAGTTCTGCATATGCATGTTTGGTAATGGCTTGTTCCATAATTCTTAAAAATATTTCATGTGCTTGGAAAAAAAGATATATGTAGGAAGGGAGCCCATGATTTTGAAAAAATACGGTGCAGATGTATATCGGGACATGGTGGACACAAGCAAAGAGTGTGAGTATTACTAAGCAGCTATACAGTAGTTACTTATCTATTTACAAAAGAATGCAAGATTACTAATTATATATACAGTGACTCTCAAAACCATTTCAATGTTTGACATTTGCATATTGGCAGACTACTACCAGGGGAGATAAAATAACAAATAATCTCAAACAAATATAGTATATAGCTAAACATGTGTAGAATCAGTGTCTAAAACATTATTATGTAATATCCATTTTTGGGTATACTAAAAATAACTTATTCAGGCCTGCTCAGTGAAAAGGTTGTGATGCTGATGATTATGATGCAATATATGCTATATTAACTGGCCAAATCACATGATTTTGTTGATTGTATTCAACATGGCCATGTGACCTGTTGATTTATACTCAATTCTGAATTCCTAGCTCTTTTTATTACCAGAAATCCATCATGCACTCCATCACACCTGATCAGCAACAATACATTATCTCCCAGCTTGAAGATGGCCATTCCACTCCATACATTGCCTCAATAACTGGTATTTGCATTAGTACTATCTTGTCAAGGGTGCGTACATGGAGGGTTCCCGGAGCAACCTGTGGGAAATCTGGTAGGACTTGGCTTCAGCTTATAGGCTGCACCCTGGCGAGATCGTGTTGTCAAATTTCAAACAGGCAGATGGGAATCCTGGGGAGTCTGGGCAGGGTTCGTGGGTCGAGAGGTCAGGGAGTCAAGATATGTAGATAGGTTGGAGGTTGAGTGATATAGGAGGATAACCCAAGACTTTAAAATTTATTTATCCACTAAAGTATATATATTTATATTGTTTGTTGTAAAATTAATATTTAATCAAATTCAGCTTATCAGATAATATTCTGGAGAATAAGGAAATATTAATATTTATCTTGTATCTGACAAAAGTTAGTCAAACAAACATATATAGATTATCCTTTTGGGGATAAATTCCACAACATGGATTGGTTGGCCAGATAGTTCTGGTTAACTATAATGTTTGTAGACATTTTAAAAGTCATGGAGATACTAGAGAATGTATTTTATCCCAAAGATTAGGTAACAACCCAGATAATCTTGTATAACCATGACATTTGTGCATATTTCAAGGGAGTGTACAAGTCTTAAAGATGAAGTTTTGGGTTAATGAAATATAAATCCCTAAAACAAGTAATCATAGCCTGTTACAACCTGTTCCCGGATGTTTCAATATCTGACTTCCGATCTCCAACTATGGAACTTCATAGTTACCGTATCTTCCACATTCTTCCCTTGTTCCACATTTGGTAATTTGTCCATTGACAAGTATTCACTTGTTTGTCTATTATATTCCCATTTCAGAATATTGTCTCCCCAATATGTCTTTTTGTATTTCCGTTTTAGAAATACTCCTATTTCTGTCTTATTATTGTCTTAGTTTGTAGTACAGTAACGAGAAGACTTATATTAGTTTCCGCAAATTTGTATTTTACCTCAGGTCTGATATCAACTTAGTTTCTTATTCCCTCTTCCATCTTTCTGTATGCTCAATATTTGGAACTCTTTGGAACTCTGAATATCTGTATCTTCCATTGTAAGTCTCACCTCTGAAATTAAGGACTTTGAGTGTTTGCGTAGAGGTGCAGCACATAAGCTGAAGCCAATGTCCTGACCCTATCCGATAGTTTCTGACTTTCCGGTGACTTTCTGATAGTTCCAGAATAAGTTTGCAACATGGCACTTAACAGTATATCAGATCTCAACTCTGCAACTCACTCATCATGGGTCCCAAATCCAAAGCTGCCGAAGGACCATCTCAACTTCAATCCCCGTTGCAACTTTATACCACCCAAGCCGAAACCCCAAATCAGCCAACAACATCAGCTTCCATCGAAGAAGTTACCGAGGAAGTTACAAATGTTGTTTATCAACTCCATTGTGAAATTCGCTGACTATTTGAAATCCACTGAGGATAGTAAAGAATCATCCTGCACCGGAGTCAAAGAACCTGAACCATTTACCAGCAAGGATCCGAAAAAATTGAAGAATTTCCTTCTCCAATGCTGTTTCAGTTTCCGTGATCATCCCGCTGCATTCAAATCTGACAGTCGAAAAGTTAATTTTGCACTCTCTTATCTCAAGGATACTGCTCAGGATTGGTTCGAACTTGGACTATCTGGAATATCCGACGAGACACCAACATGACTTGACGACTGGGATGCATTTGTGGAAGAACTGGAAACTAATTTCGGACCTTACGATCAATCTGGTAAAGCAGAAAATTAATTAATGACGCTTAAGATGAAGGACAATCAATGAGTTTCTGATTATCTCGTCAGGTTCAATACCCTCACCACACGATGTGGATGGCACGATTCCACCCTCAGGCACCATTTCTATATGGGACTTCCATCACACCTTAAAGATGAGATCTGCAAAGATGGGAAGCCAAAAACTCTCCAACTCATGCGGATTAAAGCTCAGACATCTGATGCCCATTATTGGGAATGAAAAGCCGAGGTCTCTCGAGAGAACGTGATGGAACATTCTCAGAACAACAAGGTGTTGACTAGCAAGTCTTCTGGCAACAACTCAGGCAATAACACTGGCAACACTGGCACTAATACTGGAAAATCAAACTCCGATCGGAAAAAAAGACAAGAAATCCAACAAGGATAAACAGTCAACTTCTGACAAACCTGACATTTCCCATTTGTTGGGCACCGACGGTAAACTCACCCCGAAGGAGAAACAACAACATATGCACAATGACCTCTGCCTTTTCTGCGGGAAAGGCGGACACAAGGTTTCCGACTGTAGTGTTAAATCTAACTCTTCCAAGGCCCATGCGGCAACTTCCACTATGACTATGACATATAAGGAAAAACCCACCATGGAGTCGAAAAAAGAGTAAGCAACCCTTCGGAATCTGCACAGACAGAGGGTTGCATTGACTCTCTCCATGTTTCTGAGATTATCCATCTCAACGTGTCCGCTCTCT